GTGAGTGGTGAGGGTGAGTGGTAAGTGTGAGTCGTGAGTGGTGAGTGATGAGGTTGAGTAGTGAGAGTGAGAGGTGAGGGTGAGTGTGAGTGGTGAGAGGTGAGTGGTGAGTGGTGAGGGTGATTAGTGAGTAGTGAGGGGTGAGTGGTGAAGGGTGAGTGGTGAGCGTGAGTGGTGAGGTGAGTGGGGAGCGTGAGTGGTGAGCGTGAGTGGCTAGTGGGAGGGGTGAGGAAGAGTGATGAGGAAGAGTGGTGGTGGTGAGGGTGAGTGTTGAGGGTGAGTAGTGGTGGTGATGGGAGGATGATTGTGAGCGTGAGTGGTGAGGGTGATGTGAGGTGAGTGGTAAGGGTGAGTGGTGAGGGGAGTGGTGAGGAGAGGGTGAGTGGTGTGGGTGAGTGGTGTGGGTGAGTGGTGAGGGTGAGTGGTGGCATGAGTGGTGAGGGAGGAGGGGAGTGGTGAGCGTGAGTGGTGAGAGTGAGTGGTGAGGGTGAGTGGTGAGCGTGAGTGGTTAGGGAGAGGGGTGAGTGGTGAGTGGTGAGGTTGAGTCGTGAGGATGAGGGGTGAGCGTGAGTGGTGAATGGTGAGAGTGAGTGGTGAGTGTGAGTGGTGTGGGTGAGTGGTGAGGTTGTGGTGAGCGTGAGGTGTGAGTGGTGAGCTTGAGTGATGAGAGTGAGTGGTGAGTGGTGAGGAGAGGGGTGAGTGGTGAGGGGTGAGGGTGAGGTGAGTGGTGTGAGTGGTGAGCGTGAGTGGTGAGAGTGGTGAGGTGAATGGTGAGTAGTGAGGATGCTTGGTGATGGTGAGTGGTGAGCATGAGTGGTGAGTGGTGAGGGAGAGGGGTGAATGGTGAGCGTGAGTGGTGAGTAGTGAGGGTGAGGTAGAGGGGTGAGTGTGAGCTTGAGTGATGAGAGTGAGTGGTGAGTGGTGAGGGTGAGTGGTGAGGGTGAGTGGTGAGCGTGAGTGGTGAGGGGTGAGTGGTGAGGTGAGTGGTTAGTGTTAGTGAGGGTGAGTGGTGAGCATGAGTGGTGAGCATGAGTGGTTAGTGTGAGGGGTGAGAAGAGTAGTGAGGAAGTGGTGAGGGTGAGTGGTGAGTGAGTAGTGAGTGATGATGGTGAGGGAGTGAGGGTGAGGGGGAGTGTGAGTGACAGGGTGAGTGGTGAGGTGAGTGGTGGAGGGAAGGGGTGAGTGGTGAGGGTGAATGGTGAGCGTGGTGGTGAATAGTGAGGGTGAGGGAGGGGTGAGTGGTGAGCATGAGTGGTGAGGGTGAGTGGTGAGGGTGAGTGGTGATTAGTGTGGATGGGTGAGTGGTGAGCATGAGTGGTAGCATGATGGTTAGTGGTGAGGGGTGAGGAGAGTAGTGATGATGAGTGGTGAGGGTGAGTGGTGAGGGTGAGGGGTGAGTGGTGAGGGAGAGGGGTGAGTGGTGAGGGTGAGTGGTGAGGGTGAGTGGTGAGGGTGAGTAGTGAGGGTGAGTGGTGAGCGTGAGTGATGAGGGAGTGGGGGAGTGGTGAGGGTGAGTGGTGTGGATGATGGTGAGTGGTGAAGGTGAGTGGTGAGCGTGAGTGATGAGGGAGAGGTGAGTGGTGTGAGTGATGATGGTGAGTGGTGAGGGTGAGTGAGGGAAGTCGTGAGGGTGTATATATTTTGCCTATGATGACAGCAGTACGTGCTGACGTTTGTATGTTAAATGTGAAAGCTAAATGTGTGAATGTGTGTCTGGTGGAAATGTTAAGCAAACTTGGCGACATGCAGTTTTTAAAACGGGAATAGGGCGATTCTAAAGTAATCTACAACCTTCGATGATTCCTTTGCGCGATTCAAAGAATCGATTCCTGGCGTGTTGGGGGTTTACATTTTTAATTACAGAGTTTTATTTCCATTGATATGTTATGTTTTAAAGTTTTCAGTTTTTAATTATATTTTTGCCGCAGGTCAACGCCGGATATTTCCCGTTCGTAGCAGTTTATATCAACTCTATAACCAACTTATAGTAAACAGAATCGGCCGATTCTAAAGGAGTCTACAACGTTCGATTCCTTTGCGCGATTCAGAGAATCGATTCTTGGCTCTGTCGGGTTTAAAATTTTAATTACACAGTTGTATTTTCATTGGTATGTTATGTTTTAAAGTTTTCAGAAGATTTTAAATGTGTTTCCTCCCGGGCAACGCTGGGTATATCGAGTTTATAGCACAAAGTATTCGCCTGACACGTGTGGGGTGTCGAGGCCTAGTACCATGCAGAGCCTCCGGCCTTGCCTAGATTGCCCACGCGGCCGAGGCTGGGTGCTGGGACCGCTCCCCCCCCCCCCCCCCCCCGCGCTAGAATAATACTGTCTAATCACTATAATTGCATTATCTACCGACCCTATAATAGTAATTGCACACATTGGGGTGGGGGGGGGAGTGAAGAGGACGTGAAACTTTGATGAATTTACCTCAGCGTCGCGTGTTAATGCGTGTGCATATTTTAACGGGAATTAAAATGGCATCCACCCAACAGCGATGGCGTTGGTGCCCGTTGCCAGGGGCAACCGCCCATTGCCAGGGGCCAACTGCCCGTTGCCAGGGGCAACCGCCTTCGCGCATGCGCAACGGCGTGCTTCGTCACGTGCCGGTCGGCAATAGTAAAAAAATAAATAAAGATTAATCGCACTAAATCGATAATCGGTCCGATTTAAAGTTTGAGACGAAAAATCGGAAATGCCTATGTTCACCGCGGGGCCGGGGGCGTGCCCAACGGCAAAATCGAACCCCACGGTCCGAGAGCCAAATCCCCCGCAAGCGAGCGTACGCAGACAGACGGACGGACGGACGGACACAAACATGAATTATATAGGTTAGATGATGGTTGATGAAGATGATGATGGCAAAGTTACTTATTTCACCAGCTACTGAACATTAACCCCCTGTGTGTTTGTAACAAAGCCCTAGGTCCTCTGCCACTCCATCGCAAATCGCACATTGGCACAGTTGGTGGTGGTGGTGGCGGAGCATCGCGTGACGCCGGCGCCGTGAGTCTCAGCCCCACAGGGCGCTGGCGGGCCGGGCGGAGGAGCCGCGTGAGGAAGCGTGTCATCCCCTGTACCCGGCATGGTGAGCATGCAAGCAGCAGTCCTGTGTTGGCAAGTGCTGTTAGCGAGCACCATGAAGACCGGCACGGTGCATCAGGGCTGTGGCCAGCACCACGCCAGATTTCTTTCTTGAAGGTGCGTATGTTTACACACCGCATCAGGTACTTGTTTTACTCCGAGTCAGGTTGGACCCACCAACCCGGTTGTCTGCGTGAAGAGCGGTAGTGCAGTGGTTAGGGCGCTGAGCTACAAACCTGGGAGCCCAAGTTTGATTGCTGGCCACGGCTAACGTTTAATTTTGGTGGCGATTGATATGAACTGGGCTTAGACCTCCCCTGTGTGTGTGTCACAATCAGCACTCCGGGCGTGGTGCTGTTCACCCACCCCTTCGTGTGCTGTCTCAGCCTTCATAGGTGTTGCTCACTAAAGGCACTTGCCTCAACAGTTTGTTAAAGCTATAAAGGGGATCTTTGTTTTGTAGGTGTCTGTATGTGGGGAGTGGTGGCATAGCGGTTACTGCTCTGGGCTACGAACCCGTTGACCCGATTTTGGATCCCACCCATGGCTAATCGCAGTGACGATTATTTGATTTGGTCTTGGGCCTCCCTAGGTCGACTCAACTTGAAAAAGAGTACATGCGTGCTGTGTAAACATCGCCACTAGGGATTGAAAGGTCGAACGTTGTTCTGGCCACCCGCTTCGTAGCGTGCTTGCTAACACACTTTCCATAAAGTTTCGTGAGAGCTATATAAGGGTTTTTTGTATGTGTACAGACATGCTTCTGGATAAGTGTCTATGTCAGAGACAATGATCTATAATAATGTTGTTACATCTTACAGCTGGAATTGATCAATTACATGGAGAACCACATTACAGCCAAGTGATGGTTTCGATTTAAAGCTTTCGTGACTGCAGGGATTCATCTTCTTGTTTCTTTCGGTAAAGTCACGTAGAAGGGAAGTAATAAAATAATAAAATAAAACATAATAAAACAATTCTCACGACGTTTCGGCTACAACGCAAGCAGCCGTCTTCAGGCTGCTTGCGTCGTGAGAATTGTTTTATTATGTTTATTTTTATTATTTTATTACTTCCCTTCTACGTGACTTTACCGAAAGAAACAAGAAGAAGTGAGGTTTATTTTGTGCAGTCCATGACGACCAGGCTGAGACCATTAACTCGCTAGACTTGAGAATCCGCTTTGATCACAGGCGGCTGCCTGGATTTAAACCGAGGTACTCCGTGGTGCCAGTTTAGTGCTATGACCACGAGGTCACTGGGCCGCGTCTAAACATGCCCCCCCCCCCACGTTATATACATTAGCAGCAACGTGTTTAGTGAGCAGCAGCATTCTTTGAATATTTTGCCAAAGGAAATGGGATTGTGGAGCAGTGGCACAGTCCTGCAATTGCTTTATCTTTAATCCACCACACATCTTGCCGCACGATTGTGGAGCACCCGTTATCACTGCTTGGTGGACAGAGGCAGGGGGATTTAAGATACTCAATTAGTTTCAACTGTTGTGCAAGATGGTAGAGCAGTGGGGCAGTGGAGCAGTGGGGCAGTGAAGCAGAGGAGCCGTGGGGCAATGGGACAGTGGAGCAGTGGCACAGTGGAACAGTGGCTTCATGGGGGAGAGGAGGGGCGGATTTGTCGTTAAGAAGGCAAATCGCCTGAATTTTTTCCCACCACCGCTTGTATGTGCTCTGAAGGAGGACCATTCCCCAAAACGTCTCATTATGTGTCCTTGTACCGCCGCACACACAGCCGGGACACCGCACGCACAAGCCAAGGCACATTTAACCAACCCAAGAAGCACTCACAAGCAATGCAACGTTATGCTGTGTCCTCAAAGGTTGATTTCACAAAGTTTATGGTAACAACAATAGTATGTATCCTAATTCTTAACAGGGTGGCCTTGAAACTTGGCACGTGTAGGTTTTGTTCATTGTCTGCACGTGACCCCTCCAGCTCTCTCACCCTGGGTCAGCTGCCCCTTCCATGTCCTGGAAACCATGACAAGGTCATCCCATGAGGACTGCCTGGATGAAAACCAGCATGGAAGGGGCCCAGTGTGGGGCTGGCTATGCTATTGGGATAGTCCCGTGTGTGTGTGTGATGTGAGGTGTCCTGGTAGCAGTCATTCTCTCCTGTAGTCCTGGCATCTGCTGCTCAGCTTCATTCCCCAGCTGTGGTCCCAGTGGCACCCTCTCTCTGGGGAACCGTGTGAAGTGTGTCATGGGGTGGGTAGGTAGTGTGGTGATAGCGGTCATGGTTGGCACCAATCCACGACTACCCCTACTGGGCGGTGGACCTGCCGCCACAAAGCAGCACGCGGCGGAGGAGTGAGGTGATTGCTCTCGCCATGTGAACGAAGCCTCCTCGCTTCCTCTTCTTTTCGTGCATCACCACCTCCTGCACCTCCTCCATCTTCTCCTCCTCTGTCTCATCCTCCTCCATCTCCTTCTCTTCATCCTCCACCACCACCATCTTCTCCTCTACCTTCTGCTCCTCTTCCTGCTCCACCTTTGTCTTCTTCTCCATCTTCTCCCCCTTCCCGACCACCATCTCCTCCTTCATCATCTCCTCATCTTCCTGCAGCACCATCTCCTCCACCACCATCTTCTCTTCCTCCTCCACCACCATTGTTTCCCCTTTGTCCATCTCCATCATCTCCCCCACCACGACCATCTGTTCATCTTTTGTTTTGTCCTGGTCCTCCACCTCCGTATTGTCTTTATCCTCTCCCTCCGTGTTCTCCTCCATTGTCTCCATCACAATATCGTCCTCCTTTGTCTTCTCTTCCTCTGATTTCTCCTCCTCTGCCTCTTCCTTCACCTCCTCCTTCACCTCTTCCTTTGTCTCCACCATAACCTCTGTCTTTGCTTCAAAGGCCTGGATGAGTGAGGAGGAGGGCTGCGCTGGTTCAGATCTGTGAAGAGACAAAACACGGCACCGTTCCACCTTCCTGCTACGGCAGACATCCATCATCCGTGTGTGGAATGTGTGGCGGATTAATCTGAGCTTAATATATACAGCAATAACGACATGGCCAGTGAGTATGCTTGGTATTGGCGCTGTCATTCTCATAGCTCAAGGCTATCCTTGAGATAGGTGCAGCTGTGTCTCACACAGACTGCTGTAGTTTCAAAGTACTAGGTGGTGTTGCTGTGTAAATTTAGCTGAATAATTTGTCGTGAAATTATTGTTTACATGTATATTCTAATTAATCCCTTGAACATAATGGCCTACACATTTAAAATGATATCGGTGGAGATTTTGAAAGTCCGCTGTGATGGAATGGATGTGTATCTTTGTGGTTAATGCGGTGGCAGTAATAGCAAGGGCGAGAAGCAAGATCTGAACTGTAAGTGGTGAACGATGAGTGTGCTACCTTTTGGCTGCGTCAACCCATCCACGATTTCGGAAAGATATCTGACAGTGAGTTGTGGTAGACAGAGCCGCCTCCCTTGACGTCGAAGGCATCTCAGAGTGCATTGCACGCGATGAGCCACTCACATCTTGCATCTCTCGTCTCAATGCATTTGAAATTGGACACCCCTCCCAGTGGTAGCTGTCTCTGTGCATTACAAGGCAACTTGGAAGCTGGCCTGGAGACAGGCCTTAGTCTGCCAAAATATCACGGTGGATGGAGGGTTACATGGTGAAGATATGGCCGCATCATTATGTGATCTAACCCAGACACTAATTATGGAAAATATATCTGTCCACAGTATAGCCGAATGTACGCGTTGGGCTTGCTGTGTCTGTGTATTTTGTAAACGTGGCAGGGCTGGAGCATCTGGGCCTCACAGTAAGAGAGACGTGGGTTTGATACAGGTAGGAACAATGTTCCACACTGCCCACCAGGGATTCATTGTCTGTCTGTCTGTCGTGCATAAATAAATATATAATACACACAGCTCTTTGATTGGTGGAGACCTTACAAACAGCTCTTTGATTGGTGGAGACCTACTGCCGGGTACGGAGAGGGGAGGTGCCTAAGGGAGGAGGGTTAGGGGAGCGGCCTAAGGAAGGGGGAGTCAGGAGAGGGGCCTGAGGGGGGGGGGAAATCAGAGGAGGAGCCTAAGGGGGGGGGCGTCAGGGGAGGGGCCTAAGGATATGGCGGGTGGTCAGGGGACGGGCCTAAGGGAAGGGGGGTCAGGGGAGTGGCCTAAGGGAGGGGGGTAAAGGGAGGGGCCGATATTTAAGGGGGCTGGCTACCTGGCTGGCTGCCAGCGTGGTGGAGATGTAGCTCAGTGGGAGAGCGCACGCTTTGTATGTGCGAGGCCCTGGGTTCAATCCCCGGCATCTCCATGTCGGAAGCTTTTATTTAATTATTTTTTCAAACAAAGTTTGAATTACGAAATCAATTGGCTGTGTCAATGTCCCTGTAATAGGGGTGCACATGAACTCTCGTAAATATTACCCTATATGAACGATACCTTCGGATGAATTTGTGTTGATTTCAGGAACTTGCTATTTGTATAACCAGCGATGCACACAGTGATCAAATGGTTAACTTTAACATTTAGAGATGAAAGCAAGTGCTTAAAAGTATCCAGAACACGTTTATTTCCGAATTAAATATTTCCAATAATAATTAATTAGGACAGCATTATAGTATCCATCCACATGTATTCTTGTTATTTATTTTGTTTTAAAGAAATACATTTTGCTTGGACTCTGTGCAGACTCGATGTATCCAGGGCCCAAGGCCAACAGGAGAGTGAGTGGGGTGACGAGGGAGAGGAAGAAGCTGATGACGAAGTTTCACCCCGTACCGAGGTGGATCTGCGCTCCGGTAGAACCAGAATGGAGATGTCGCTCAGTGGTAGAGCGCACGCTTCGCATGTGTGAGGCCCCAGGGTCAATCCCCGGCATCTCCATGTTGGATCTGGAATCCTTGTTGGAAGTTTTTAAAAAATGTATGTTTCCAACAAAGGTTGATTTTCAAAATCAATTGGCTGTGTCCATGTCCCTGTAATCGGGGTGCACATGAACTCTCGTAAACACATTCCTGCGGAGGGAGCTGGAAGGAACGTTGGTTTTCTCGGTCAATGGCCAGGCAGCGTGGTGTATTTCGCAAATATGGCCAACTGTGAGGTTGGCCACAAGCCGGCGTGAGTCGGTTAAACGTTGAGTTTTATAAAGGTGTAAAGTAGTAACTCGGCAGGAGACGACTTCACGGGTAGCACACTCTTTATTTTCACCAACTTGTAGTTACACGGATGACTAACACCCTACTTCGTTACACGGGTGACCAACACCCACTTAGCTACACGGGTGACGGACACCCACTCAGCTCCAACTTCGTTACACGGGTGACCAACACCCACTTAGCTACACGGGTGACCAACACCCCCTCAGCTACACGGGTGACCAACACCCACTCAGCTACACTTCGTTACACGGGTGACCAACACCCACTTAGCTACACGGGTGACCAACACCCACTCAGCTACACGGGTGACCAACACCCACTCAGCTACACGGGTGACCAACACCCACTCAGCTACACGGGGGACTAACACCAACTCAGCTGTACTGACACGGGCTCTTACGCCCTGTAGCCTTCCGGGACACACCCAGCCGGGGTGCCCGTCTCGGCTCTGGGTACCACCGTCCCGACCCACACGGGCGTCGGACTACGGTCCCCCCAGTCTCGGCTTCGAGCCACACAGGGCCCCTACCTCCTCCACCCCGTCTTCGGTCTTCAACTGGTTAACACTGACCACGAGTGCTCTCGCGCGTCCCCCTTTATACCCCTCCTGCGGACGTCGCTGAGAGTACTCACTTATCTGACCAATCACTGCGCACTCGCTACGATCCTCTTTTCCCAGCTTGTGTGAGCGCGCCTCACCACCGGCGCGCGCGTCCATGCCACGCCCACATCGCGTGCCCAACCCCGCGCCCCGTGATCCATCACTGCCGGCGCACGTCAATACCACCACTACATCACCCCCTACCACATAGCTCGCAGCCGACCCGGCTGCTAATAAAACATACAACACCCCTTCACCCCCACGTGTGCCCCGTAACATAACACCAACCCTAACAACACAACATGAACACCGCAATCCGCAAAACCCAGCAACCGCCACACCCGCAACAAGAACAACATGCACAATCCGGCGAATGGCAACGATACTGTGTATGCGGAAAGAGTAACAATAAAAAAATTTCTTTAATCATTTTCTCTTCTTTTCTCTCCGACTCATGCAGCGTCCCAATGTCCGAGCGTCCCTTGAACGGGACATTACCCCGGCAGAGGGGGAAGCCGGCAACGAAGTCGGGCTTTAACAAAAAAAGAAATTTTTTTTTTTTCATGAAAAGTGTTGCGTCCTTGACCGAGTCCGCCTTGCCGGACCGTCGTACGGCACAGGACGCAGTTGGCCATCCGGCGGCGCCGGCAGTTCAGGAAGGCATGGGCCAGGCATCGGGGCTCCGTGCGAGCCGCGGGGTTCCGGTTCCCGACGGTCAACAGCCGTCAGGTCCGAGACACCTGGGGGTGGGTCAGGTGGAGACACGTGAGGATCAGCCTGCGACACATCCCTCCCCGAGTCGACGGTCACATCACACGCTCGGTCGTCACGGCACAACCCGGGGTCACGCGGCGCCGCGTAGGGTTTCAGTCGGGAGGAGTGCACGTACCAACGGCGTTTTCCCCATTTAATCTGTATACTCTGGGGTCGTGCAACCCGCACAATTTCCACCGGTCCCCTCCATGGTCTCAACAGTTTGGGGGACGTAGCCAACGGTGCGTGTGGACAATGCAGCCAGGCCTTATCGCCCGGTTCCCAATTGTGCGTATGCACCTTCCGTTCATGCAATCGCTCGTTCGCGATCTGCCGAGAGCGTGAATTCAATCTCGCAGCCTCTCGCGCCTCAGCCAATTTGGCGATGTTAAACTTAATGTGGTCTGCCAATTTTGATTTCGCACGTGGCTGTGAAATCCCCAGTTGGACGTCCATGGCCGGATCAGCCTCCCGCCCATACATCAGAAAAAATGGAGAAAACCCCGTCGCCGCATGGGGTGCCATCCGATAGGCCGCTAGTACCCCCGGTACCTGTAAGTCCCAATCCACCTGGTCGTCGCATACCTGTTGGCACAGCATAGACGTAATCGTCCTGTTCAGACGTTCAACCATACCGTCAGTCTGCGGGTGGTACGGGGAGGTATGTACTTTCTTTGTACCCAACAGGTCGCACACCTCGCGCAACAAAACACTCGAAAAGTTTTTCCCTTGATCCGTCAGCAAGCGTTCGGGGGCGCCTTTGTCCAAAACGTAACCTTGGACAAAGGCGTCCGCCACTGCCGCAGCCGACTGGTTGGCGAGTGGCCACGCCATGGGCCAGCGGGTGAAGTACTCTACGCCAACCAGCAGGAACTTATTTCCCCGAGGTGTAGTGGGAAAGGGCCCCAAGATGTCTAGCGCGACCAATTCGTTCGTGCGCGAAACTTGAATGGATTGAAGCGGTGGATTAGCCGCTATTTGTGGCGGTTTTCTTTTAGCGCACCCTACACACCCCTTAAGAATGTTCGCCACGTCACTGCCCATCCCAGGCCAATAGTAGTCTCGCTGAATGAGGGCGAGCGTTTTATGAAACCCCAGATGCATGAGTCGTTCATGGGCAGCCAGGACGACCTTACCCCGTACAGCAACCGGCACCACAAGCATGTGACGCCGGGACATGGAGTCCCACTTCATCAAGAGGCCCTGTCTGCACACCCAGGAACCGACCCGCGTTTCCCCGCCCTCGGGAACGTTAACCTTCCGACGTAGCGCGAGTAGGGAGCTGTCGGCCATTTGCAGACGGCCCCACTCGATGAGAGGCAATGCTAACAGCGAGTCCCTCCCCGTGGGGGCGTCGACCCCCGTAGTATCCGTGGCGGCTAGCACCACTTCCGCGGGGACATCGACAGAAGGT